CTTTTCTATATCCATTGAGAGGATCAGATGAACTTGGTCCTTTATTATACTAATATGTTATATTGCATTTACTGATTTTTGTGTGTTGAATCAACCTTGCATTCCTGAGATGAATTCTGCTTGGTCATGGTGTATATTCCTTTTTATGTTACTGGATTCAATTTGTTGAGGATTTTTGTGTCTTCGTAATTAACAGTGGTCTATAGTTTTTTTTTTTCTTTTATGATGTTTTTAATATCAGGTAATTTTACCTCATAGAACACTCCTTTTCTATTTTTTAAGAGTTTGTAAAGGACTTGTATTAATTCATCTTTTAACATTTAGTAGAATTCACCAGTGAAGCAATCTGGTCCTGACATCTTTGTGGGAAGTTTTTTGATTATTAATCTTTTTTCTTGTTATAGATGTATTCAGATTTTCTATTTCTTTTTGACTCAGTTTTGATAATTTATGTCTTTTTAGGAATTTGCCTGTTTTATCTTATTTCTTTATAATTTGTTGACATGAATGTTTTGTAGTATTACATTATAATCATTTTTATTTCTGTATGGTTAAGAGAAATGTCTCTTCTTTAATTTCTGATTTTAGTAATTTGAGACTTTTCTTTTTTTGGCCAGGGTATCTACAGTTTTCTCAATTTCTTGGCCTTTTCAAAGAAACAACTTTTGGTTTTATTGATTCTAGCCTCTTTCTCGCTCTCTCTGTCCCCTAGAATTCATTTATTTCCACTCTAATCTTTATTATTTTTCTCTTCAATTCTGCCAATTTGTTGCTTTATGTATTTTAGGCTTTGTTGTTTGGTGCATATTTATTTGTTATTGTTATGTCTTTTTGATTAATCGACTATTTACAATTTTTATTCAAAAGTTTTTTCTTTTATCAGATATTAATATAGCCACTCTAGCTCTCCTTGGCTACTGTTTTCATGGTATTTCTTTTCCAACCTTTTACTTTCAACATATTTATTTCTAAATCTAAAATATGTCTCTAGTAGACAATATATGACAAGGTTATTTTTTATAAAAAATGTATTTTGTCAGTCTCTATAGCTTGATTGAAGTATTTAATCCATTTACATGTTAATGTAATTATTGATAAGGTAAGATTTATGTCTGCTATTTTGCTATGTTTCCTTTGTCTAACAAATTCATATTTTCTCTATTACTCCATTACTACTTTTGTTGCATTAAATAGATATTTCTTAGAGCACCATTTCAATTGCCTTGTCATTTATTTTACTATATATTTTAAAATAATTTTCCTAGTAGTGTCCCTGTGATTACAAATAATACCTTAATTTATAAAAGACTGTATTTTGGATTAATACTAACTTGATTTCATTAGTACACAAGGTCTTTGCTCCCTCTTCTAGAGCATCTTACATTTCCCCATTTGTTTGTACTCTTACTGTATAAATTACATTCTCATACATGTGTAGCTATCAACAAATTTGTAATTACTACTTTATGTCATTGTCTTTTAAATCAGGTAAGAAAAAAAGTATTACAAAATAATGCATTTATACCAGTTTTTATATCTATATAGTTACGTTTACTAATTCTCTTTATTTCTTCTTCTTTATTCAAGTTATTTTCTAGTGTTCTTTCTTTAAGCCTGGAGAACTCCCTTTTGTATTTCTTATAGGACAGACCTGCTAGTGACAAATTTTCTGTTTTTGATTATATGGCAATATCTTAATTTCGTATTCATTCTTAAATGATAGTTTTGCTTGATATGGGACTCTTGGTTCCTTTTTTTCTCTACTTCGAATATGTTAGCATATACCTTTTGGCCCCATGGTTATGGATGATAAAACAAGTATTAATCTTATGAAGATACTTTGTGTGAGAAATGTTACTTCTCTCTTGCTATATCTTTGTTGATATTTTCTATTTGGTGAAACATCATCTTCATGCTTTCCCTTTAGTTTCTTAGACAGTTACCTTTAGCTTTTTGCACATATTTAAAATAGCTGATTAGACTAATAAATTCAATAGCTAAGCTTCTGCTGGGACAGTTTCTATTGAGTGCCTTTTTTCTTTTGTATGCTCTATCTTGTTTTTTGTTTGTTTGTTTGTTTGTTTGTCTTTTAAGGAAAGGCAACCCTTGGTTGACCTCACAGATTGCAAGGACCTTGTCAGCTTACAATCCCTTATTTTTTATTTTTTATGCCTACAGCACCTGGTCTTCCTAGGTGGTCTCCCATCCAAGTACTAACCAGGCCTGACTCTGCTTTGCTTTCAAGATCAGTCGGGATCAGGCTTGTTCAAGGTGGTATGGCCGTAGACCATTTTTCTGTTTTTATGAATGCATGTTCCATAATATTTTTTTGAAAACTGGACATTTTACATAATATACTGTAGTAATTATGTAATCTTATTACAGGTTATATAATTACCACAGTAACTATGTAATCTGTTGTAACACTGTAAATAAGATTCTCATTCCTCCCCAGGGTTTGTTCCTGTTTCTGTTGGAGTTGTTACTTTTTTAGTGACCTTTATGAATAAGTTCTATAAAATCTGTTTTCTTTGTCATATATAGCCACTGAAGTATCTTCTCAGTTATCTTAGTGATCTCTTAATGATTGGACAATGATCCTTAAAAATCTGGAAACAATAAATCTCCCTGTCTTTGCTAAGAGGCATTGTATGCTTGTTAAGGCACATCCTCAATACTCATCCAGGTAGTTGTTAACTCTGCCTTAGTTTTCACTTTTTGCTTTTATAGAATCTCAAGATCAGACAGAGGTGAGGACTTAAAGGGCTCCTCCAGCATTATCAGAGCACTTGAATAGCCCTGGGCTCTCACACATCTCTGTGCATTTGTAGCCTTCTAGTTTCCCAGGAATATGTTGGAGCTTTTCAGAGCCACTATAGACACATCATTCTCTTCAAAAGCTTTTGTTTTTAGGATTATTGGTTACTCTATTGTTTGTCCCAATTGTTATCCACAAAGATGGCCACAAAACTAATCAATTGCCTGTCATTTTTTTTTTCTTTTTCTTTTTTTTGATAATCACACTTTGGGAAAAAACTTTCAAGGGGAGATTTTTTGTACTGGGTGAGCTCTGTGTCAAGTCAAATATAGACATCCTTGCAAGTGGAGTCTTCCAAAAAAACAAGACAGGTCAAATAATGATAATTCTGATAGAATGAAACTTGAAAGGCATTCCAGTTCTGTTCTACAACTTCTGGTGGCTTCCTGACTGCTGGTATTTTCAATAAATGTGAGATGTTATTCTTCAGGGCTACCACTACCAAATGAGGGAGGGATTAGGATAAGTTTAAACACTACAAAGCTCATACTTCTTAATAAAATTAAGCTTTATTTTAATAAGTGCTCCTCAGATTGCTACAAGCCTTCAGTTAATCTCCAGAGTTCTGAGAAAGCTAATTTTGATATTTTTTTAGCTAGTTTTCTCATTATCTTTATAGAGGAGAGTTTGCAGATATTCATGTTCTGCTTTTTTCACTGATGCCTTTCACTAGGACTGTATCTTGAAATTTAAGGCTTTATTTCACCTTTTTAACAGTCTTACTATTCTTTCAATCTTGTTTATTGTAAAATATGCTGTCAAATATGCCCTTGGATCTTCTTGGTTTACTGGGCAAGATGACATTCTCCTTTAGGCCAAATTTATACAAATAAACTCATATTGATTATTTTAATAATTTGTATTGTGTTTGCATTTAGACTTTTATTCATCCGAAATTTACTTTTGTTATAATGTAAGTTAGAGGCGAAGTCAAGAAACCACTTTGTTTTTTTCAAAAATAAATTCTACATTATTTCAGTCCCATTAAAATAAATGATTTCTCTCACTGAATTCCAATACCACTTTTAAAAATATTAATTCAAATCTATTTCAGGGCTCCAGTTTTTCCCTCTGATTTTATTACAATGCCAAAATAAATGTTGTTTTATTATAATGGTATTACAGGATGTTTTAATATCTGGTAGCAAATTTCCAACATTATTCTTATTTTCCATATACCTCTTGGGTACTGTCATATATCTTTTCTTCTATACTAACTTTATTTTATTCAGTTTGAAAGAGAATACTTTATTATTATACATTATATTAATTTTGGGATAACTGACATATTTTATTAAGCCTTTGATGACATATTATTCTTTTATGTGGATCTTGATTTAAACTTTTAAATAAGAATTTGTGTTTGCTTTGTATAAGTTCTTCCTTTACTATTGATTTTATTTTCAAATATTTTATATTTAATGACAGAGGTTTTTAAGTATTGTCACTATTTTTAGCATACTAAGAGCTATTGTTTCCCATATGCTTATATATAACTATTTTACCAAAATCATTTATTGTAGTTTTAGATAGAATCTTTTGTTTCCCTAAATATTAGATGATACAATCTAAATTTGAAGACTATTACCTTTTCATATTCGATATTATAATAGTAACATCTGGTTTTATTATCTAATGACATTTAGCTAACTTTCACAAAACATGATTAATAATAGTGTTTAGAAAAGATTATGTTCTCATTCTTGAGTTCAGTGGGCATACCTTTAGCAGTTTATGATTTACTTTGATAATTTCTGTTGGTTCTTTATATTATATTGGTAGTTTTTCCTTGTACTAGTTTAAAAATTATGGAAACTAGATAGTGAATATGTAAAATTGCTACTTTGTGAAGTGTTGGCCATATTCACGTTATTTCCTCATTTAATTTGTTGATGTGATAAATTATGATTTAAATTTTCTAATTTTTATCACTTACAATATAATGCATTTTATTTTATTTTGATTGGTTATTGAGTACTCTTAGACTTAATATGCTGTATTTTATTTGGAATCATAACAATTTTCATGGATTAAAAATGCCTATCAGGTGTTATTTTATACTATTTTAATCAATATTTATTAACTTACAGTAGCTGCATAAAATTAAATGTAATCTATTTCTTACTTTACAAAATAATGTAGTTCTCCACAATCCATTCACATTCTGTATATTTTTTCTTAGCTAGCTGACTTGAAAAAAGCTTATGATCAACTAGCCTACAGGAAAAAAAGTTGTGAAAGTGAATATTTGGAAGCATTTAATGATTTTTATACTAAAGTAAGTTGACTTTCCCCTGCTTCCCACTAGAATTCCATTCTCTATTCCCAAACATTAACTCACACAACTAAAGTAATTTTTATTATTTTATATATTTTTTATTTTTGAAATGCATAAACATGTATAAATGATTATTTTATTCTTTTCCTAAAGAAAAAAATATGGGATACTGAGCTTTCTAATATCACAAAAGATTTTTCAGCTATTTCAGAAGCATATACTCAATTGATGGAAGAAAATAAAAAAATTGTGATGGATATTGAAACCATATCAAATTTAATCAATGACAGGTAATTCTGCAAAAATAATTTTTATTCTTATGTAGCATACTTTATATGTTAAATATATTAAACCTCTTCATTTTGTGTTCCTCGAGCGGTATGGTGGTGTTTGTGTTTATTGTTAGTTTTAAATTCGTTTATTTCATTTTCAAATATTGCTGTTTAATCATTCCGAATCTCTTTAGAAAAATAAAAATCATGAAAAAATTATAAGGAGTTTTACACTCACTCGTATCAATATTCTCGATATTGTTTCAAACTCCATTGCTTTGATTACTAAAGAGGTAGAATATTTATATAACTTCTATTGAATTCTACTTTTTCTAAAATATTTTTTGTGCTTCTAAGGAAGGAATAAAGAACTTAGGAAGAAAGGAAAAATAGCTTTCCTAAAGTCCCACAGCTAGCACAGCTGGCAATAGTAGACCTAACATTACAATTGGAATTCTCTTACAGCACAGGTAAAACTGTGGTAAATTCACAGAGCTGCATTTTTGGCTGTATGGCTGGAGCTTTGCACAAATGCTTAACCTGATTTGTGTGCCTGTGTGTGTGTGTATGTGTTTTTATGTGACAGGCAGGCAGGGACAAACATTGAGGGTAGGGAGCTGTCAGATATTGATTCATTTTAAAGGATTTGGACTTTGCTGAAGACTATGGAAATCCACTAAAGCTTTATGGTCAGATTTCTCTCTTTTTTAAATTTATTCATTTATTTTAGATTCCTTTTTAAAAAAATTTTAGGTTTCTCGTGTTTTTAATGTGCCATTATTTATTTAATATATATGCAAATATTTAATATATATGCATATACTTTTAAATTTTATTCATTTTTATCTTCTTTTTATCTTTTATTTTTTCAATTATAGTTTGACATTCAATATTTTATATTAGTTTCAGGTGTGCAACACAGTGGTTGAATATTTATATAATCTACAAAGAGATCCCCCCGATTAGTTCAGTACCTACCCAGCACTATACAAAGCCGTTAAAATGTTATTGAGTATATTCTCTATGCTGTACTTTACATCCCCATGACGATTTTGTGACACAACCAATTTGTATTTCTTAATCCCTTCATCTTTTTCACTCAGCCCCTACAACTCCCCTTTCCAACCATCAGTTTGTTTTCTGTTGTCTATGACTGTTTCTGTTTGGTTTGTTCATTTATTTTGTTCTTTAGATTCCACATATAAGTGAGATCATATGATATTTGTCTTTCTCAGTATGACTTATTTCACTTAGTGTTATACCCTCTAGGTCTATTCATATTGTCACAAATGGTAAGATTTCACTCTTCTTTATGGCCAAGCAATATTCCATTGTATATATGTGCTACTTCTTTATCTAATCATCTGTTGATGGGCACTTAGGTTGCTTCCATATCTTGGCTATTGTAAATAGTGCTGGTGTGAATGAACATAGGGATGCATATATCATTTCAAATTGGTGTTTTATAATTCTTCAGATAAATACCCAGAAGTGGAATTGCTGGGCCATAAGGTAATTCTATTTTTAGTATTTTGAGGAACCATCATACTGTTTTCTATAGTAGCTGCACCAGTTTGTAACAGTGCACAAGGGTTCCCTTTTCTCCGCATCCTCACCAACACTTGTCTGTTGATTTATTGACGATAGACATTTTGACAGATATGAGGTGATATCTTATCGTGGTTTTACTTTGCATTTCTCTGATGATTAGTGATGTTGAGCATTTTTTAGGTCATTTGGCCATCCATATATCCTCTTTAGAGAAATATTTATTCAAGTCCTCTGCCCATTTTTTAATTAGATTTTTTTTTTTTTTTTTGGTGTTGAGTTGTATAAGTTGCCCTTATCAGTTGTATTATAGGCAAATATCTGCTCCCATTCCGTAGGTTGTCTTTTCATTTTGTTAATGGTTTCCTTTGCTGTGCAAAACCTTATAGTTTGATGTAGTCCCATTTGTTTATTTTTTCTTTTCCATTGCTTGAGGAAATATATCAGAAAAAAATTTTACTAAGAGCAATGTCAGAGAATTTACTGCCTATATTTTCTTCTAGGAGTATTATGGTTTTGGGTCTTAGATTTAAGTCTTTAATCCATTTTGAGTTTATTCTTAGATTTCTCTTTTGAAGACATCACTTTTGTGGTAAGTGGATGAATTAAAGTTTGAATAATTGATTTGAGAGTAGTACTAGATATTAAATAAGAAATGTGTGGAGGTTGGAAGAAAGATCTTGATATGTTTGATTTGGAATTTTGTATGGCATGACTTTAGTGTAAGTGTGTAGAAATCACTTTGATTTATGGGTCTGAAATTGAGGAAAGATGTATATGGAGATAGAATTTAGATGCTAAATGAAGAAATACTTAAAATTGGCAAGCAATTTTTTTCATGTTTATCACTTTATTTGCTTCTTAGTAATTAGAATTTTTATGAAATGGAAATTTTATGGGATAAATTATAATACTAAGCTATATGTCTGTATGATATAAAGATTCCTCAATGTAAGGGAAGGAACAAGAAATATAATTAATGGCCTTTATAGACTTTATCCACTAAAAAAGCTTTTTTGGTTATGAAAATCATAAATATCTACTTAGAAAATACACGAGGAAAAATCTCATTCATTAGAGAATGGAATCTAAATTCAAAAATCATAAATATGAAATAGGAAACTTCTATAAAGTAAACACCAAATGTGATTGAAATTTATTAAAATTAAAATTTTATTTAAAAAATATGTTCCCAGTTTATTGAAGTATATTTGAAAAGTAAAAAATTATATATATTTAAGGTATACAAAAAATGAGTTTTATTAAAACTTTGTTTTTAAATCGAAGGAAATGTTCACAGATTTCCCATGAAGTCCCTACCCACACACATGCATAGTCTCCTCTGTTATTAACATCCCTCTCCAGAGTGGTACATTTATTACACTTGATGAACCTACACTGACACATCATAATCACCCAAAGTCCATAGTTTACATTAGTAAACTGTGTCCATTCTATTGGTGTCGTACATTCTATGGGTTTGGACAAATGTGTGATGATATGTATTCACCATAATGCTGTCATAGAGTATTTTCACTACCCTAAAAATCCTCTGTGCTGTGTCTACTCATTCCCCCATTCTCCTTCCAAACTCTGGCAACCACTGACATTGTTAATGTCGCTATAGTTCTGTCTTTTCCACAACGTCATGTAGTTGGAATCATACAGTATGTAGTCTTTTCTGATTGACTTCTCTCATTTACTAATATGCATACAATTTTCTTCCATGTCTTTTCATGGCTTGGTAACTCATTTCTTTGTAGCGCTGAATAATATTCCATATGTTGATATACCATAGTTTACTTACACATCCTCCCATTGAAGGGCATCTCAGTTACTTCTGAGTTTTGGCTGTTCTAAATAAAGCCTCTGTAAACAACCGGATATAGGTTTTTATGTGGACAAAAGTCTTCAACTCATTTGAGTAAAAACCAAGGTACATAATTGCTGGGTCATACAATAAGAATATGTTTAGTTTTGTAGGAAAACACCAAACTATATTCCAAAGTGGCTATATCATTTTGCGTTCCTACCAACAAGAATGAGAGTATCTGTTGATCCACATCTTTGCCAATAATTGGATGTTGTCTGTGTTCAGGATTTTGCCTATTGTAAAAAGTATGTCATGATATTTTGTTGTTATAATTTGCATTTCCCTAATGATATATGATGTGGAGCATCTTTTCATATGCTTATTTGCCTTTGTATATATTCTTTGGTAAGGTGTTGGTTGAGGTCTTTGATCATTTTTTAATCAGGTTGTTTTCTTACTGTTGAGTTTTCAGAGTTCTTTGTATATTTTGGATAACATCCCATTATCAGATGTGTCTTTTGCAAATATTTTCTTCCAGTTAGTGGCTTATCTTCTTCTTCTCTTGACATCAGCTTTCACAGAGCAAAAGGTTTTAATTTTAATGAAGTTCCCTTATCAATCATTTCTTTCATGGATTATGCCTTTGCTTTTGTGTCTAAACAAATAGTCATCATGATACCCAAGGTCATCTATGTTTTCACCTATGTTATCTTAGGAGCTTTATAATTTTGTGTTTTATTTTGCATTTTACTTTTGGGTCTATGATCTGTTTTGAGTTATTTTTGTAAAAGATATAAAGTTTGTATTTCACTTTTGTTTTGTTTTGTTTTGTTTTGTTTTTTGCATGTGGATGTCAAGTCGTTTCCAGCACCATTTATTGAAAAGATGATCTTTGCTCTACTATATTGCTTTTGCCTCTTAGGCAAATATCATTTGGCTGTTTTCCTTTGGGTCTCTTTCTGGCCTTTTTATTCTGCCTCATTGATCTATTCGTCTATTCTTTTACTAATAATCCACTGTCTTGATTTCTGTAGCTTTATAGCCAGTCTTGAAGAAATATATGTTTAAAATAAATAAATCTAGGAGTATATCAAACTTTCGAATATGATTTAATAATGAGAAAAAGTCAAGTTCTAACCAAATAAATTATAATTTTTATTGTGATTATAATTAAACTCCTAATGTAATATTATTTTATAAGTTAATTAAATGATTATCTTGTAAAGCTCACCAAAATAATTTTAAAATGATGATTCATGGTGATAAACTGCTCTATGATATATTTAAACATGAAAAAGCTTATATAATTATTAAATCCTGTAATACTGGCCAAAATATAGATAGCTAAATAACTGAAACATGATTAGATACTAATAGCAATAGTCAGAAATAAAAAATTTAAAAAATACCTCTTACAATACAATTTTAAAACATGAAATCCAGTGACTAAATCTAGCAAGTAAATGTATGATAACTCTATACAGTAGACTACAAAATATTATTGAGACAAATTAAAGAAGATGCAAATCAATGGAGGGCACATATCTTAGTCATAGATTGGACCACCCAATATTGTGAGGATATTTATGCAATCTCAAATAAATTCTTAGCATATTTTGTGTGTGTATGTGAAAAGATGTTTCTAAATGTATATGGA